CCAGGTTTGGTTTTTATATGTGCCTGGCTTCTTTAAATAACCATGAATAGCCTTATTTAAATCTATGCTATTTATTTCCACAGAGAAAGAAACCTCAAAACCTTTTACTGTTATAGGTTATCTTGCCTCTTTACATCTCTGTTATGACAAAGAAAGAAAAATACATAATATGAGGGCAAAAGAAAGACTGAGCTTAATTACAAAGATCTAAAAGCAGAAAATCTCACAGTATAATTGTTTAGAAAAAGAAAACTTTCTTCCTTTCATCTCAAAACAAATCATTTATCTGCCAAGTGTAAGTACTGTAATCTCCCCTTTAAAAAAAAAAAATCTGTATCCTTTACTGAAAGAACCAGGAGTCTTTAATTTAATCTCATAATCTGAAAATCTTCCTAATATATGCTACTGACTACTATTTAAAGTCATTATAAGAATTAAAATACCCTAGCAAATGAAAATTCTTATCAAATAAAATACTTTCTCAAATGAAAACTCTACAAAGGAATAACTTTTAAGAGAACTTTTATGAACTACAACCAATTCTTTCAAATCTATTTTTGAGAATAAGATTTTATTTTAAAGATTTATTTATTTGTGCATACAGAACTGGGGTGCAGGCCAGAGGCTCAGTGGCAGTGAGAGGCTTCACCAGAGCCAGAGCGGGGAACAGAACAGGCAGATTGACGAAGTACACTGCTGAAGGGAGCAGCGGGCCAGTCAGGAGAGGTCTGCCACGCCATGTGGTCACCTCCGGGGCAGGCAGAAATCGAACTCATGCAGAAGCCGCTTTAGATTCTCAGTGCTGTGCTTTAACCTGCTGCACCACCAGGGAGAGCCGAGAATAAGATTTTTAAGTGATACGACAAGGATGGACAAAGTTATAGTATTCACTTACCATGCTAAATGATCTAGTGTACATTACTTCAAAGCAGATTTACAATGCATAATCAACACACTGATGTGTTAGTGAAAATGATTAAATATGCCAAGATCTTAATTATACTACTACTTTACATTTGTATAGAACATTCCATTTTTGCAAAGCATTTAAAGCCATAAACTCATTTGACTTTGTTATGTCCTTCAATTTAAGTTCAAGATACAAGATCTGAGTCCATCTGGGTAAGAAAAGCAATGTAGTGAAGTAATAAAGGATATGGAAGCTGCAGCCAATTGCCTGCACTAAAATCCTAGCATTGCCCCTTATTAGATATGTGATTCTCAGTACATTACTCCACAATTCTGTCTCAGTCTCATCATCTGCAAAACTCACATTTAATTCATTTCTACCTCATGTCTACTGAATTTAAAATCAGTTAATATATGTCAAGCACTGAGAACAGAGTTTTAGCACAGAAAAAAACATTATATAATTTATACACTGGTTGTATTTATCAGGCTCATCAGTGTATGGATAAGGAAACAAGGTAGTAAGTCAAAGAGTCAGAGGCTGGTTTTGCTAACTTTTTTAAAGAATCCTAATGTTTTTCTAGATTGACATAAAAAAAATTAAATATGCCCCTTGTCTCACCTTGGAGTTTGCCCAGCACTGGGCTTTGGACACATGAGATGCAAGGTATGATATGCAAGGACAGAAAATGCACACACAACTCTGTTTCCCTTTCCGCTTTGGTAAGGTAAAGCAAGTATGTGTTGGCCTGAAGCAGGTGGAGCCATGACTGTTTTGTACCTGTGTCTGGTTCAGAGCTGTCACAAGGACAATGGACATTTTTGATATGCTGTTACTTTAGTACACACTTTGGCCCTATCAAAGAAAAAAGAATTTAATGCTAAATTGTACCCAAAAAAAAACAGCAGTTCAAAATATTTGTCAAGTTCATTTATATACATATATATATGTTATGTTAAATTGATTATAAAAAATAAAATTCTTATTTTACTTTTCAAAAAATAGATCAAGAAGTAAACAAGTTTACCTTACCACATCATGTATCATGATCATTAATATAATGTCAAATAAAAATATCCAGAATGAAACACAAAAAATTATAATTAATAACAGTTGTTAAAATATTACTATGGCCCCTCCCTGGTGGCGCAGCAGGTTAAAGCACAGCACTAAGAAGCCAAAGCCACTTCAGCATGAGTAGATGCCCCAGAGGTGATCCACACGGCGTGGCAGAACTCTCCTGACCAGCCCACTGCTCCCCTCAGTGATGTACTTTGTCAGTAGGCCTGTTCTGCTCCCCATTCTGTCTCTGAATCCTCTCACCACCCCTGCACCTCTGGCCTATACTCCAGTTCTGTATGCATAATAAATCTTTTAAAAAATATATTATTGGCCCTCCCTGGTGGCGCAGTGGGTTAAAGCACTGCAACTGAGAAGCTAAAGCCACTTCCACATGAGTTCAATTCCCGCCTGCCCCGGAGGTGACCACATGGCGTGGCAGACCTCTCCTGACC